GCCAAAAACCCTGTGGAAGTTGAGGTTTCATAATCAGACAACTGAATTCAAGACTATCCTTCTGTTTCTGCCGCTCAGTGGATCTGAAGATTAGGCAAATAATTCTTGTTGTAATTAGGTCTGCCCGTATCTGGCTAACCCTACATTTTCTTAGAGTTATAATCAGAATCTGAATATCACAACGGGAGACAGAGATGCATCACATTGTGCTATAAGGAGGATATTTGTGGTAGAATAACTGCATAATTTAAAAAGGATGACTTTAACACAGCTACCTGCCAAATATAGGCATTTTAACAATATTATAACTGCTTAATAAATACTCTTAATTCATACTTATTTGAATCATATTAGAATATAATAGTACATACTATAATAGTAGTATAGTAGTATAATAGTCGTAGTACAATAGTAATAATAGTATATACTATATAATAGTACATAGTATATAACAGAAATATATTGTCATAGTGAGACTGGAGTGTGTTGTGTTTGTGTTTTGGCTCATTAATGTCTCATTATTCATATTACTTTTCTTTCCACGTCTTACTAATGGTAATCTGTAAAAAGACTTCCAGATGGATGAACTCCACACTGTGGAATTGAATCAACACTGAACTGACTTGAACTAAATAATGACTCGATTGTCTTTTATAGAGCTGCTTCTCAGCAGAATCTGAACTCTACAGGGTCGGTTTCTTCATTGGGGCGACAGGGCGATGCAGACCATAGACTGTCAAAAAACATGGACGTAGTGTCCGCGACGTCACCCGTAGGTTTCTGAAGAACATTTTTGAAGCCTAAAGTGGGCGGAGCCGGCCATCGCCATCTTGGCAGCGCGTCACCTCGCGTCACTCCCGGATAATCGAAAACGGGCAAAGAGGCGGGACGTGGGTGGAGCTGGTTGCTGAAACCCACCTTGCTCGACGGTTGGTGACAGCAGCGGCAATCCCCCTGTCACTCAAGTGGCCACGCCCTTAATTATGCAGAACTTTAAGGCTTATTAATATAATTTAAACGGATGGGTTATAAAAAAAATTCACCCCCTCACAGTTGTCATGAAGGGCAAAATTAGCTATATAGACCAAAAGCACTTTTTGTACCAGACAGTAAAAAAAAAAAATTCTGCTGTAAGTTGGGCATTTTAACATGGGGGGTCTATGGGATTGACTCCCTTTTGGAGCCAGTCTCTAGCGGCCAGTCGATGAATTGCAGTTTAATTCACTTCCGTGCTGGTTTCAAGGGAGAGACCAGAAGGTTGCAGACGACAAAGCCACTATAAGGCAAGCCTGCAACCTTTTGCCAAAAAAGCGTAACGGCTAAAGCTAACTCTTCCGGTTTGCCAGTACGTGGGAAAGGAGACCAGAGGCGTTTTTTTTTTATGGATGTCAATGGAGGAGATGCTTCACTACGCTGAATAAACAGCTTTTTAGAGAAAACAGCTTATCATTTAATGAATCGACAGCCTATCAGCTAATCTCCAACATATTTTACACTAAGCAATACTTTGGGATTTAACTATTTTTAGTTTACACCTAAAAAAATGCCGTTTTATAAGAGAAGTCACTGACTTTTTGTGACAGGTGGGATTCAGTTTACGGCACTTCTCTTTCATTCCTATGGAAATTCATTCCAGAAATTCAATGACGTCAAGGTATTGTGATTGGTTATTAAGGCACACGTTATCCAAGTTAACCGTATGCTTTCTCCAATAGTAAGTAATACAGACCCTCTCATCTCTCTATCGTAAGATAATCTCTGCAGACGCTTCTCATCACCAACGAGTGAAAGGGAGGGACTTTTTTCCATCACATTCAACCACAGTGTTACTGCTGTCACTGTAGGCCCTTTTTGACTTTGTTCTGCCCCTGGATCATAGCTCTGGATATATAGTCCAATCAGCGTCAAGCCACGTTCTGTGGAGTACCGCCCCTTTTTGGGCGGGAATCGCCCCGAGGGTTAATACTGTAGACTTCCATAGAAAGATTATTTTTCGGGCTAGCACTAACGTGCTTTCATCATCATACACAACCTTAACTTGTGCAGCGATTGAAGGGAACAAACATACCTCTATTAATGATCTTTAAGCTGAAGTCAGTAGGGCTGAATAAAGCAAACCAATATCTCACCAGTGAAGTTTAGATGGATGACGATTGTAATGGAGGTAAAGATGATTACAGTGGCATACAGCAATCGTACAAATAGACGCGCGATTCCGTTATTAGGCCTATTAGTGAGCAAACAAACAGACCGTGCATGTGCGCTCTCTGATAGCACGGTATGATCGCACGTCTGGCAGGTGTTTTCTAATGGACACTCGCTGAAGAAGCTTGTTTTTATAGGAGTTTTCTGCGGCCAGTGGTGTTTATATCAGTGGGGAGGCCAGAAATGTTCAATTGAGTGGACCTGGGTAACATAGGGTGGACCTCAGTCAGTGCCTTTTTCAAAAATCCTTTTACAATAGCCTACATGAGATAAAAATAAAGATGCAAATTTCGTGTGATTTTTGTGACCGGTACGACTTTAAACAACTGAGGATCATACACTACCAGACTTTAATGTATGATGGCCAGTTTTTCCTCTGTGACTATTTAAAAAGTCGGTGAGTGTATGATGGCCAGTGTTTTAAAATCTGGTCAGATTTTAAAATGAGTGTATTCCAGCATGGAACAGATTTTACAACGCTATAGTCATTATAGACTTACTGACTTCGTAAACAGTCACAAAGGAAAAACTGGGCATCATACACTACACGACTGAGGATCACACATGGGCATCATCAACACTCACTCTGACAGAGGAACTGTTCACTGCTCATGTCGAGCCGCCTTCAGATCACCACATTCAGAATGTTTTTATTTGCTATTTTTTAATTTGTGTTTTGCTCTGTTTAATAATTCTGAATCGATCCATATATAGATTTATATTCAGTCAGGTTGAGGCAACTGGTATATTGGTCTGTTGGCATCTCCGTGTGGTCATGTTTGGTATTGCAGCTTGACTTGTAGTTATACAATAGAAAACGAATTGTGAACTATGAAAAAAAATAAAAAATAGAATTGCAGAAAATATAGTTTTGTAGGAATCATCCTCAAATTTAATTTCGAATGTGGTAAAACAATTATCTTCATTTAAAATGTTATAATATTTAATATTTTATTAAATTCATATTTTTCCTTTTGTTATACTGGGATGCATGCTAAAATTGTTGGATGTGGTGCCCTACCTAGAAAATTTTCCACCAGCCGCCACTGGAACTGTGCCCATAGTTACATTTTCATAATTGATTCTGCAATTTTCCTGTTTATCACTCTGAATCTGTTTTGACAAAATCTGTTGTCACGAATCCGGTTCGTGGGCTTCAGGCCGATTGCCACTAGAGGTCATTCTCCCATTACATTGACTCTCACACCACACAGACTGTTACACATCACCCTGGACTGCATTTCCCATCAACCATTGCACTGATTACACGCACACAGCTGAATGCACTGATCACACACACACACACAGCTGAATCCAATCAGACATGCTACATAAGCCATGGACTTCCTCTCTCTCACTGCCGTGTATTGTTCTGCATTTTCCACTCACCTAGTGTTAGCTGCATTACCGAGCCTAGTGTCTTGTTTTCTTTGTCTTGCCTTGTCTGTTTCCCCGTGTTCTGATCACTGCCTGTTTACCTGGATTATCTCTCGAGTCTCGCCCTATTGGATACTGTTTGCCCCTGCCTGGACCTTTGCCTTGTACCTGGATTATCCCTCTTGCCTTGCCATCATTATACCTGTTTGCCATTGTCTGACCTATGCCTGTTTTGACCACGTCTCAATGAATAAAGCCTTGCAGATGGATCCGCACGCTTCCTGTGTTCCGTCCGCAACATCTGTGATGAATCGCTATAGTAATAAAGATGACTTGACTTGATATTTAATTATTTTTCTGTGATCCTTAATCTTGGGTGGACTCCAGCGAACTTGAGATTTATATTCATGAGATATAAACTTCACCTGCAAAATTATACCTTAATGTAAAATGGTCATCTGTGAACCATTTATTTATGATTGATCAGTAATCTTATAAGAATATACTATTAAATATGTATTAACATTAGTAAATATTCTAGAGTAATTTTAAATGAAATTGACATTAAATTAACTAGATAGATATTTTTTCTGAGAACACTTCCCATAACGCCCGATGTACTCACTACATCATAAAAAGAATGGCATCTACACTAATATTAATCTCTTTCAGTCTTATTCAGAGGTCACCGTAGCCACCAGATCCAGTCTGTATCCAGTCCAGATGGTGGATCAGCAGCTAGAGACGAACTCTACAGCCCTGAATGTCAGCGGAGACCATGTCAACTAGATGAGCTCCAGAGACAGATCCCCTGCAAAGACCTCGTCACCTCGACAACACATCGGCACAAGACCACAGGAACCATACGAGTCCTCTGCACAATCTGACCTGTGTTGCAGCCTGGCATTAAACCATGCCATGCTGGATTCGTCTGTCCAAAGGAGAGCTGGCTCCCGACTAAGCCTGGTTTCTGTCACAGATGGAGTTTTGATTCCTTGCCACTGTTGCCTTTGGCTTGCTTAGTTGGAGACGCTTGACTGATTGCACAGACACTATTGGACGAGAGCTGAACTGGATGATGACATCACTGAATCATCAATGAACTGACTTTAGCTGAAAAATGAATCTTTGTTATTGTCCTCTTGCATTATCGACAAACTATTTTCCTGTTTAACACTGTAAAGCTGCTTTGACACAATCTGTATTGTATAAAGCGCTGTATAAATAAAGGCGACTTAATGTTTTCTATGAGGAGGGTTTTTTCTGGAAGACAGCAGTACAGTCATGAACTGTTGTGTGATTTGTGAGAGGCTGATGACAATCTGCTGCTGTGTGCATGTGGTGTGTGGGCGTTTTCTGTTGGAGAAGATATAAAAGCAGAGCTACGGCTCATTTCAACAGAGATTTGTGTTCAGGTCTGTTCAAATGGAACTTCTAGACTGCATGAGGGAAATTGTTGCTTTTTTATTTTTAATCCAGTGGACAACTTCAGACAGCAGTTCTCTCGGTATAGTAAGTACACTGTCATCTCATAGCAGAAATATTTTATAAAAATCATTTGATCAGAGCTTAATTAAACCATTTATCTCTTTTGATATTCACAGGTTGCCACATGTAACAAAGATGGTAAGTGTTAAAGTACATCTTTCCTTCTTTCTTTCTTCTATTTCTTCTTCTTATTTATTTATTTATTTGTATGTATTTATTTTTTTTAGAGGATGAAATACCCAACGAATGGTTTGAAAACCATAAATCTAACCCTTCACCCTTACATGAGCTGACTGCGGAGCTGAGTGAATCTCAAACCTCTCTCATTATAAGATGGTCCATTAATATTGATAGTAAGTGACATCACAGTAAGTGATTTTTTTTTTTAGTTCTGTGTGGTTTTGATTCTTTCTGAGTTTATTCAGTCATACACATGTCTCTTTTCTGGTTGGTGAATAAATGTCTTTGGAATTCATGAGAAATAGTCATTGATGGAATTATGGGAAACAAGATTCACTTGATGTGCAATATTATGTACATGATCAATATGTACCCATATTAATTACACAGTGAAACAAAGTTTTATAAAAGTTTTATTTTTAATGTTTCTTTATGAAGTTTGACATGCTGAATACGAAATCACATTACTTTTTGTGTGTCATTAACAGTGCTCATAAAAACTAAAACTAAAAAATGATGTTGACAATTTATACAAGCTAATCTGTTATTACTCATGATAAAAAATGACATGGTACATGCATAATTCTGAGCTAAAAACAAGTTTAACATAAACAGTTGGCAAAAATGAGTCGTCCAAAATTTCAGGAGTGTTGTATGCTGGATGATTTTTGTCTTTTATGACTAGTCCCAGAATATTATGGAATGTTCTAGAATTTTCCCATCTTTGCAAAATCAAAATTTGTAAAAAAAAAAATCATGCAAAATTAGCAAAAACTCATCTGTAATAAATCAATGTTTCATAATTAAAGACAGAAGTTCTAAAATTTACCCGCCCTAAATATTTACCAAAATATTGATGCTACATGAAAATAGATAGTACAATAATAATGAGCACCACAGAATTACAGAAGAACCATCAAAATGTAATGTCACATTGTGTTATCATTTTAAAACACATTTGATGAAAAAGCGACTTTTGTATTTTCTCATTTTACTTATTTATTTAGTTAACTGGCACAAGATGGTTTTGTTAGTAGAAAGCAGTGATTGTTGAAATATTTTGTATGCACATCAGCTTGACATCAGTCAGAGATATCGCTTGTTACAGAATGTTTCATCATTTAGGGTTTTTTCATTATCAGGTAATTGTAGGATGTTTTATGAAAAACAAGCCTTGGGTTATCACTGGTCCTGTGGCAGAGGTAGTTTTGGTGAGGGAGGAAGTGCTGCTCATTCTTTTCAAGATAACGACTGACGTCCGGTTTGAAATGAGCTGTCTGATTGATGTGATGCTGAGTGCCATCAGATGCTGCTTCATGATTCAGAGGGATCGTCTTAAACGTCCCAGCAGGGCCGTCAGTAATGAGGTGAATGATGGGGCACAGCACTGTTTTCAGAAAAAATTTTCATGTGGTAAAAATGTGTCTCATATGGCTGGAATGACGTGTGACACTTTACGAAGTGTTTAATGAAACTGTTAAACTACACAGTAAATTACTATACGCTGAAAAGTAAGTGACGTGACATGTGGCCAAGTATGGTGACCCATACTAGGAATTAGTGCTCTGCATTTATCCCATCCAAAGTGCACACACACAGCAGTGAACACACACACACCGTGAACACACACCCGGAGCAGTGGGCAGCCAATTATGCTGCAGCGCCCGGGGAGCAGTGCCTTGCTCAAGGGCACCTCAGTCGTGGTATTGAAGGTGGGAGAGAGCGCTGTACATTCACCCCCCCCACCTACAATCCCTGCCGGTACGAGACTCGAACCCGCAACCTTTGGGTTACGAGTCCGACTCTCTAACCATTAGGCCACGACTTCCCCAAGTAACATGTGATTAAAAACTGCAGAATCATGAAAAATGCTTTTTGCAAACGGAAAAGAGAAAAGCCTGATCAGACGCAATTCCAGCTGATCACATTAGTTTCACATCAGATCACACCGCTCTACAAATATCACTACATGACTTCAGCAGATGGTTTGCAGTTAAGCTGAAGTTTGTCGGACAGTGGCCATCTACCACTTTTAATGATGTGTATATGTTGTTTGTGTTGCATCATGGGAGCAGGTAAAAGCCAGTGTGAATGGCAAAGGCTGTCAATTTATGAGGCTATAAATTGCAAATGTTAATAGTGAATATTTTGGAGTTGTACATAATGTCAATTTGAACATTGTCTTCTTAGGCAGCATTCACAGTCTTATTGGCACATGGATAACACTTTCTAGAGAGTCTGACTCACATTACAGATGTCAGTACCAGCCTCCATTTACCTCCGAGCGAATCAACCTCACTGGTCAAGAACAGGTAAAGAAAGGACAGAAATGGTGAACTGAACTACTAGTCATCAGCAGTGTCGGGGGTAACGCAATGCAAGTAACGCGAGTTACGTAATCAGATTACTTTTTTCAAGTAACTAGTAAAGTAACGCATTACTTTTTAATTTACAAGAGAATATCATAGTTACTTTTTCAAATAAGTAATGCAAGTTACTTTTTTAAATTTTTTTATTGATTGACAGCTCTCCTGTCCCCATGTTGAGAGAAATCAGAAGATGTTACTGTAGTTCTAAAATAAATATGAATATGCATTAATTCATCTCACTCACAAAAAACAAAAACCGATTCAGTATTCCTCAAAATGAATAAAAATAACGCAACTCAGAATATGACGCAAACCTTCAATAATTAAATGTTAAACAACACAAATATTACAAATACTAACCAATGTCTTTGCTTCTGACCTTCGATGATCCAGTGCAACCATACAAATAAGCAAAAATTACTCTAGACAAACATTTGTGTGTCTTTTTTTATTGCTGAAGTGTGTTGAAATTTCTTCTTCTGCATTCTACTGTACGGACGTAAATTTACTTTCCTTCCTTACTTTACTTTCATTTCACTTTTGGTGTGAAAAAGCTTTTATATTTGCCAAAAACAGAACTTTTTTATTTGAAAAACAAACAAGCAAGCCCCGTCCAGATTTAAAAAGTAACACAAAAGTAACGTACCACATTACTTTCCATAAAAAGTAACTAAGTAACGTAATTAGCTACTTTTTCATGGAGTAACGCAATATTGTAACGCATTACTTTTAAAAGTAACTTTCCCTAACACTGGTCATCAGTGCCTTTACTACAACATCACAGTCGGAGAACACCGAGCCTCACAGACACTGTAAAAACAATCTGTAAAATTACAGTAAAAATGTGAACAGCTTTATAGAACAACCTCTTTTTTTTGACAGTTTAAAACCGTTAAACAAAACAAACAAACCAGTAAATCCACCAACAGCCCTGTTTTACTGAGTTAGCATAACCACACTGCTACTGAACTGTTTTGATCCTTTAACCATCATAATAATAGAAGCTGCACATTGTCATGGCAACGCACTTGACACTAAATTAATAATGAATTAAACATTCATTTAACACAAGATGTGACATAAACCCTAATCTACATGACTGATAAGAAAAACCTAAGAAGAAAGGTAGTTATTTCAACAAATCAAATGTGTCACTTCTGGGAATGTAAATATAATTTTTATTTATTTATTTTTTATCATAAATGACTTGTTCTTTTTTCTTCCAAAAACTGTACATTCAACAGTATTTTACTGTACAATTACACTTGTCCTGTTAGTACTACAACACGCCATGCATAGTAAGGGAAAGTACTGTTAACCAATTAAAAGTTGTTTTTTGTTTGTTTGTTTTACAGCGTAAGTGTCCTAATCTTTTTCTTCTCTTGATTGACAGTTATGGTTCAGTTTCACTGTGCCAAATGTATCTGTTTGTCCTTCAACCAGTTATTACATATCTGCCTATAATATTCCAACACCGTCTGATGGAGCGAATGAAGAATATGAAAAGATGACCCAAACAGGTTAGATTTATTTGCTCTTATAGCCACTCCTTTTATCTCCTCTTTTCTACGTGGCGAGACATTATTAGAGACAGACAGGAATGCCACCAAATCGATGAGCTTCCACCCATTGTGTTTAAAGTTTCATTTGAGATCTACAGGCTCTTCCTGAAATATTATATGCAAATGAGAGCGGTGCTCAGACGTGCAAAACGCACTGCCATGATGTTTGAGTTGGCCTCAAGTCTGCAATATTCTGTGCTATATCTCCTCGTTCATCATTCCCTATTTAGTGAATGTCATATAGTCCATTTCATTCAATTAATAGACTCACGCATTCACTCTCACACTAGTTAGTGTCTCCGGTTGACCTATACTGCATGTGTTTGGTTTGTGGGGAAAACCACAGCTCCACAGGGTCAACATGCAAACTCACTTCTAAATGTGTTAATGTCTGAAATAGTGCACTATATACGGGGACGGGGCATTTCAGACACAGCTCTGATGTCAAGGTAAGCTTGTGATCGAGGTGGAAAGGCGAAAACTGTGCGTCTGATGAGTTCAATAACAGCAGCACACATGATTTGAGGCATCATTCACACAATGAAGTTTAATACACAGTGCTAGTGGTTTCATCACATGCTGTTCAGTGTTTTGGCGACTGACTGTTCTTCTGTTTGATTGACTTGCTAGCTGAAGTTCAGTGGAATGCTGACATTTATTCAGTGCTTCATGGAGATAAAATAGTGGTGAGCTTCAATACGAGCCTCGTGGCGGACAGACACACCATCGTACTGACAAACAGCACACATCCACTGCTAAAACCTGTTGGAGGGAAAGGGGTATGTTTCTCCTCAACATTTCATTTCATGCTAAAACTAATTTAAAGGACAAATCAACACTTCAACCAGCTGGAAAATATGACAAAAGTCAAGCTCAGCGTCACATCAGGTCACGTCAGTCAAGCTTGACTCTCAGCTGATCCACGTCGGCTTAAGTCTCACCCAACACAAATGTGTGTTTTTTTTGTTTTTTTTTAATTCTACAATTTTAACTTGTGATCAGATCTAAAACTTAAGAGGTTAAGTTCATTACAACAATTATTTCAGCCTACAGTATATGCAGCCATTGAGTAATATAGCCAAATTCTGGCTATTGATATTTTTGATATTTTTATATTTTTATACCATCATATGTCACCAAAGTCACCAAATTTTAAGGTTTTCGCTGTCTGAACTTACAGGAATATATATATATATCTATATATATATATATATATATATATATACTGAAGTAAAATAAATCACAAAAATTGCATAAATTGATAGTTTTTTATTTTATGGAAGATCCACTAAGGACCAATTAAGGGCTGCTATACGAAGGATGCTTGAGGGTTAACGAGATAATTATGCCGTTTTAACGACATAACGTTATTACGAGAAAAGATGTCGTTTAACGAGAAAAAGTTGTCGTTTTAACGACATGGCATCTCGTTATTATGACATAATTGAGTGGAAAAAATTATATGTGTGTGGCGCGTCACCGTAAAAAACATTTAAATAAATTTGCTAAATTTACTTGTGTATATTGTATACGCTGCACTGGCAGATTATTTTCACTTGTTTTAAGTATAAACAAGTGAAAAACAAGTGGAAAAAGTTTGTGCAGTCATTTTTTTCATATTTGTTTCTTTGTCTTGCAGGAATGCAAAATAGAAAAATGTGAAGTGGAACTAGAATACATGGAATACATGGGTCCCTGTGAAGACCTTGAGATAAGGGTAACTAAAAAATAAGACCTAATCTTTACCTGAATGATGTCTGTGATGCACATCATATAGCCTCAAAATAATATATGCTTTATTAGAATGCATGCAGGGTTATTTGGTCAAGAAAAAAACCTGGACATTTAACGGAAACGTCATGGACATTTTTCAGTGGCTAGAAATTGATAGATGTTTTATAAGATTAATTATTATGAATTAGAGAACACTCTTCACTATTAACTAGTTGCTTATTAGCATGCGTATTATAGCATACTGGCAGTTTATTAGTACTTATAAAGTACATATTAATGCATGACCATCTTCTAGATCCCTTAATCCTACCCCATACCTAAACATAACCCCTACAACAACTGCATTACTTAATATCAATAAGCAGCAAATTAGGAGTTTATTGAGGGAAAACTCTCAATTAATAGTGAATATGTGTTCCCTAATCTAGTGTTAATCAAACATTATCCAATCTCATTGGTCAAAATATGTGGGAAGTCATTTTCTCCGTCAGTAGTTTTGTTTTCCAATACAGATATCTGGTAAATCATAAAACCTTACAAAATGTTGCTGAAAACTAAAATTCCAGTGGAATAAGAACAATTAAAATTCATTTCATAACATATTCTCTGCAAATACATCCCTTTTGTATCCTTTCACTTCCCGTCTCTCCTTGACCTGTCCCCTCACCCCCACCCCCACCCCCAAAAAAGACAAAAGATCAAAAATATACTATAGAAATAGCTATAAACATATAATAAAGAAGGATTTTACTAACACTGATCTGGTTTTATATAATGGCAGATAAAGCCTCACTTTAAAGACTGTCCGAAAGCAAGAGAATCGGAGGCTCAAAAAGTGAACTGTCCGAGTGAGTATCCTGTAACTCATCTTCTCGTTTCACTGCTTCTCTGTTCAGCGCAATTCTGTGCTTACTCTCGGGGTGTTTTATTCCAGACAGATCTGCTTTGGACATTGGTGTTGGATGTGTGCTGGTGCTTCTCTTCCTGCTTCTCTGTTGCTGCATCACGTGTAAGTGAAAAGAAAAGGATTTAAAACTTGCTTTCAAATTTTACACCTCTACACACAGGGATGTGGTCAGTAATAGTTGAAATATGAGATATTATGGACATATCTCCAGTGGCCTGTTTCAGAGTAGGCTTAGAGTTGACACACAGTTTAGACGATTTCTGTCAACTCCGGGTTTGATCCAGAGCTATTGATGAACTCTGGAGCTTGTGCACGTGAAAGTATAACATCTACAGCGAGCAGCCAAACATGAGCAGCAGATTTTGGCCCAATCCCAATTCTATTTTATACCCCTTCCCCTTGTCCCTTGAAACAGTGTATCAAGGGGTAGGGGTGAAAATATTCCCCTAAGAATTGGGACACCACTACTATACGTATATGTGCTGGTGTGCATTAAAGCCTTTAATTACCGATCTATATTAATGCGCTGCTTACTGACACACACACACACACATATATATACAACGCTGCCCCATGACTTTTATTAATAACAGTTTACATACTGAATCGCTCGTTATGTTTTCCAGCAACTAGAGGATAAAATCGCTGTTTTTGAAGTAAACTCACTCTAAAAAGAGAAACGCACAGCCGTACGTTCACACGCAACTTTCATCTCTCTCTCACTCTCTCGAATTGGCAATATTTCAGAAAAGGGTTTAGCGATTTATAATTATTGGGGGTACTAGCCCTCCTCAATGTCTATGGTGGTTATTATCACCCTGATCAGACATGAAAATAGCCTATGTTGTGGCACTATCCTGCAGTCAGTAATGATATGAGGTTAGCAAACTTTAGCGATTTTTTGCAAACATTTCTTTGAGTAACATGACCGTAAATATGAACTCACGATTGAATGTAACATAAAACAAATGATTACTTTTCGTTAAAATCTTTATTAATGCCAAAAATGCTTACATTTATGTGTCTTTTTGTTCGCTCGGGCAGCCATTTTGCCGCTGTAGCCGGTTTACGCTGAGATAATTCATACCCCTTCGTTTGAAGTGGGCTCCCGAAAAATCTTTGTTTGAAGGGCTATCTGGCCCTTCCCCTTACCCTACCCCTCCAACCAAAAGAGAATCGAGAGGGGGGGAAAGGGGAAGGGCTAAGGGGTAGAATTGGGCCTTTGTCTCTCAGATGATGTCACTGTGAAGTGCTTTAAGCTGGTGCAGGAGATACAGGTGCAGTCACTTTATTGCATTAGATATATGTCACTTTGCTCTAAAACCAATCCACCTTCATGAGCCTGAAAAAGCAGAGCAGGCCTCTGGACACAGACTGCAGAAGCGGTAAGAGTAGTGTGTTAGTATGTTACTCTGATCACTCTCTCAGGTCAAAGCTTCCGCTGGGTTCGTGGATCGAGGCGCGCTGCGTCCGTGCGCGTGCTGCTCGTGTACCCTGCAGTAGACAGTGTGTTTCAGCGCTCTGTGATGCTCCTGGCTGACAGTCTGCAGAGTCGTGGTGGAGTATGCGTCGTCATCGACATGTGGGAGAGAGGAAGTCTAGCAGAACAAGGGCCGCTCCGCTGGCTCAACACACAGGCCGACCTCTCCGAGAGAGTGCTCCTCATCTCAGCACCTCAACGCTCACACACCGGTAACAAAGTTTGTGTTTCATGCCAGCAACAGTGCATTTGGGTCACACTCAAGAATCTGTAGGGGCTTGTGACAGAATTCGGCTGTTTTTTTTTTTTATAGGTGACATATCATGAAAATCTGACTTTTCCAGTTTTTAAGTGCTATAATCAGGTCCTCAGTGCATCTACCAACCAAGGAAACGTGAAAAAGATAAACCCAGTAACTTAAGTTTACACCCACGGTGCCGTCATTTTGATTTCGCAAGCGACAACGGTGTATTAGTTCTAATGCCATGGCGAAAGTTTGAGCAAAACATGTTAACTGTTCTGTGTTTGGCTGCACAAACGAGCACAGAACACTGTTTAGAGTCCCAGCCTCAGAGGAGACAACAGAGCAGTGGATTTATTGATTTATTTACTGTATATTGCCACACAAATCTAAAATAAACATGCAATTTATTTCCCAGCTGTTTACCTTCACAGACATAACCCACTGTTTTTGTAACTCGTGTGTTTTAATGTAAACTTGTGTGTGAACGAGAACTTAGTTATATATATATTATTATTTTTTTGAATACTTCTCTTTGCAGACGACCTTAAATCCAAACTAGTTCCTGGCATGCCAGATGACACAGTTTCAGCTTCTGCCAGCAATCTTTTTGCCCTGGCCCTCAACCTCGTTACCAGTGCTGCCCATGACCCACACGGCCGGGACAAGTTCTGGGTCATCAACCTGGAGCATGATGAGAAGAGCGTGCAGACCGAGCTCAGAGGCTGCAGGACGTTCGTTCTGCCGAGAGACTTGAAGAAGCTCCATCGGCAGCTGTTGAGTGGAGCGGTCCAGAGCCCAGCGCTGCCGGGGTGCTTCTACTGCAAAAACACCCTGGAGCAGCTGGAAGAAAATACAGACTTCCCGTCTTGTGCAAAGTCTGTCAGCCTGGCTCAATCCTACAAACAGGGCAAAAATCCTTATCTCTCGTCCTATTAAGTGACTTTGTGTTTATTTTCCATTGCGTTTATCCTAAAAGATATGGAGCCAGACCTGCTCCTGAGGCGTTCTCCTTCCTTCAGGCTTCAGTTCCAACTCTTGCTTCAACACACCTGCCTGTTATTTTCAGGGGGGGGGATCATGAAATCTGCCCTTATCTGTACTCTGAGCTGGTTTGCAGTGACCTTGTTTAGTGTGATGCGTGGACTCTGACCACTTCAACATTCATATGATCTCCTGCACATGTAGTGATAGAAGGCATATCTCTTCCTATTAAGTGACTTTGTGTTTATTTTCCATTGCGTTTATCCTAAAAGATATGGAGCCAGACCTGCTCCTGAGGCGTTCTCCTTCCTTCAGGCTTCAGTTCCAACTCTTGCTTCAACACGCCTGCCTGTTATTTTCAGGGGGGTGATCATGAAATCTGCCCTTATCTGTACTCTGAGCTGGTTTGTCTGGTTTGCAGTGACCTTGTTTAGTGTGATGCGTGGACTCTGACCACTTCAACATTCATATGATCTCCTGCACATGTAGTGATAGAAGGCATAACTGATCCAGCTCTTCGTGGTTTAATAAAGGAAAGCTTTTCATTTATTCAGCTGTGCCTATGGAAGCATTCTTATGCTGGAATAGAGGATCCTAATGAAGGTCTGCTAACTTGTGTAAAACATCACATACACTGCACAGTGTAGGCTAAAGTTCAGGCTGCTAACCTCAACACCTCCGCTTTGAGCAAACACTGTTTGATTGTTTGTGTCACAAATGAACAGCTGAACTCAACCCGGTTCTGGATCCCCTTGGGTTCTGGATTCATTTACACATCTGACTTGCATTTCTTCTGAAGCAACTTACTCCGGGTCAGTGTTGGAGATAGTAACTTTTGCATTACATTATTGTGTTACTCCCTAAAAAAGTAACTAATTGTGTTGCTTAGTCACATTTTACAGAAAGTAATGCATTATGTTATTTCTGCGTTACTTTGTCTAATCTGGGATGGGCTTGCTTGTTAAGTTTTTAATATTAAAAAAGTTGTATTTTTGGCAAATGTAAAAGTCATTTTTGCTTATTAGTATGGTTGAATTGGATCATCGAAGGTGGAATGAGCTGCCGACCTCCTGAACTGCTGAGAGCATCATAACGTTCAAGCAGCAGCTGAAGACACAGCATTTCTTCAAGCACCTAACCACTCCAACTGCCTTAAAGCAATGCCCTATACACACACACACACACACAAATATCCTAATAATCTCTTAATCGCTCCGCTGCTCTAGCCTGGTTACTAATCTAGCCATCTAATAAACATAAGGCATTGTATATTACAAATTTTGTTGGCTCTAAATCGCTTATGTTCCTCTACTGTAAGTTGCTTTAAGCATCTGCTAAATGCATAAATGTAAACAGTGTCATGGTTTCTCAGCAGTTGCCACATAGAAATCCTTTTTGGGGGTTCATAATGTAATAGATTTCTCATAAAATAACTTGCTACATTATGCAACAATGTTATTAACTGATACTGTTTTACTTTAGATTACAATTAATATTTATAACATTTAACTTACAAGACTACAGTTCATTTAATAATGTAATAAATGTTTGAGCCTAAGCATTATCACACTGTCACAATGTGACATTTTTTGAGAAAATTAGTAGATTACATATGACTTATTACACTATGTGCATTTATTACATTATGGGATGCTACTACACCAACGTTGCTCAGCCAATCAGATTCCAGGACCAGAACTGCTGTATAAAACTTAAAATAGCAACTTTAAAGATAAAGAACAACTTTTAATAAGTATCTTTTAAATACATATTACTTTTGTAAGAAACAATTTACATCAACTGTTACAGTGCATGTTTTTTTTTTCCTGGTTAGAGTGGAGAAAATTGAAAATGATACAAAAATGCTTAATAGTTATGAAAAACAGCCACGTTTTTTTCATAAACAGCTATTCAATTTATTATCATCCTAAACAAATTATTTGCAAGATGATTGTTCAACCTTTACATTGTTAATAGCATCATACTGCCAGATTGACATCCCCAAAAATAAAAACAAGCAGATTAAATCCACGTCACGAAGACATCACCAGACAAAGGCGGCCCGCTCACGGAGCATCCGCACACCGAAGCGCTGCCACTCTCGCTGGTGAATCCAGAGCTCCTGCGTGGTGTCCAAACACGCCAGCACGGCTCCACCCTTCCACGCTATCACACGAGGATCCATGTCCTGCACGGGAATAGTCTCTTATTTATCACAATGCAGCAAGTCACACTACACTACAGTCAGTGAGAAGCTAAAGTCAGTGACTCCTGGGTAAGGTGGAGCCATTCATACTTGGGTGTAAAATTCACACTAGAGGCTGAGTAACTACTAGCTAGTAGGTAGGGCTGCACAATTAATCAAATGTCTAATCGCAGTTACAATTATGGATGCCACACTGCAAAAAATGCTTTTCTTACTTAGTTTTTTGGTCTTGTTTTCAGCCAAAATATCTAAAAATTTAAGAATCAAGAATGATTTTCTAGACAAGTAAAAATCATTCAATGTAAATTGTGGTTATGACCACTTTAATAATCGCAATTACAATTTCAATGGAATAATCGACAATTATGATTTTTGTCATAATCGTGCAGCCCTACTAGTAGGTCACAGTAGGTACAGTAAGATATGCAGTGCACTTCCTCAGATGATATGACGTCTACCTTTACTGATAAAATAAGAAACCGTCAGATTTTTAATCAAACATTTTCAGTTCATCCTACACACGAACTGAAAAAGTTTCTTGCACAGACAATAGTTTTTGCCTTTTTTTGCAGCCACAGACTTGCATTTTATGAATCACCAAGGAGCACAGTTTCAGCTCAAAATCTTCAAAACTGTTCTACTAAAGAAATAAAAGGCACCTACACCTCGGATGGCCTGAGAGCGAGTACAATAACAGCTAAGTTTCATTTTTGGGTGAACTATCTCTTTAAATATGCATGTATATTAATGGTTTTGGAACAAATATGATTAGCAAAGTTTTAATTACATGACATCTGTATAGAACATTAAATCAGCGTAAGGAAGACAAACACTGAATACATTTGAGTCTCTTCCTCACAGAGCACTCATGAAAGCACTTTAATCACTGGTTACAAAGACACTTTTCCTCCTTTATTCAAAGCAAAGTCATCAATAACTTCTTTGAAAATCTGCTGACACACACACACACACACACACACACAGACAGACACAGACACACACAGACACACACACACACAGGTTTCCCTACACACCTTTGGTCGTGTGATGACATCGACGTTCTCCACCAGACGACGGAAAGATGGAGGCATCTTATTGAGGACGCGATGCTGCAGAAACTCTTGCGCTCCGTCAAACAGCAGCCCGCCACCAACTACCAGAATACAGCTGTACATCTTACGCTTCGTTTCATCCGAGGCTGTGGAAATAGACCCATAAACACATGCTGTTAGGCTTCAGCACCAAAATATAAAAATATAATTATGTAAGGAATGTTTGTGGAGTGACTGTAATCTATCATCTTCTTCAAGACAATGTTTCCTTCCTGTACAAATTCACTTTAATCTTTGAAAAACATGGAAACTTCCTGTGTACTATACTGTTTCTTGCTTACCCATCTGTTTCAACTTGTTCTCTTATCTTTTATGTCTGGACATTTATATAGGAATTTATAAGTTAATTGGAATAAATGTCTCGATTCTTCATTCATTTTACCAATATGCTCACTTTTACATAATTTTAGAATTATTACACCACTCAGGTAATGTCCATAGTATGACCCAAGTTAGAGGTGGCTGAAATGTTTTATAATACATAATATTGTTTTAATAGCACGTCAATCTTTAAGCTTTAATTAGGAGGTGAGGATTGCCCTCAGGGTTTTTAAGAGATTTACCCACGTGTTGATAAATATAAGTCAGTATTTACCGCAGGAGTCAATGCTGTGTAAGATGGCTTTATCCATGCCAAGTGCTTTTCCCTCAAACTGAGTCATGGCCGTCTTCCTGGACAACAGAGCTGACAATGTTTCTTCTGCATCCGCCCCACCGACGAGGCACTCGGCTTGAGCGTGGCCCAAATCCAGATCCTGAGTCAGATATCCCTTCTCCGATGGGTCGCACATGTCGGTTTCCCCCTCAAACCCAGCAGGCTTAGGGAATAATTTGCGGTCTGTCGTGGCTTTAGAAGACTGTGTGTGAGAGAGAAACATGCTGAGGTTACACACCTCGATTCCTCATCCTGTTCGGTTTGAACACACTAAAAGAAGAGAAACATTAAAGGAATAATTCACACGGAAATGAAATTTGCTAAAAATGCGCTCATCCTCAGGCCACCCAAGATGTCAATGAGTTTGTTTCTTCATCAGATTTGTAGAAATGTAGCATTGCATCAGTGTGTCAGCAATGGATGCTCTGCAGTGAATGGGTGCCGTCAGAATGAGAGTCCAAACAGCTGATAAAAACATCACAATAATCCACAGCACTCCAGTCCATCAGTTAACATCTGGAGAAGACAGAAGCTGCTTGTTTGTAAGAAAGAAATCTATCATTTAAATGTTTATAACTTTAAACTTTCACTTCTAGATAAAATATGAGTCCATAATCCATAAAAAAGTCCATAAAGTCAACCTTGCATCGTGTGCTGCATTAGACTCACTCTAGGACTTGTTACAGCACTTGCATATTGTTGCTCAGTTGGTTTGATTGCTTCTATTGTCCTCATTTGTAAGTTGCTTCGGATAAACGTGTCTGCTAAATGACTAAATGTAATCCATAAAAAGTGCATCTCCTGTTGTCTTTCAGATCAAAATCCACCCACATATTTGTTCAGAGCTGTTTTGGCTTGTGAACGGTGCTTGATTCTGTGCAGATTTCTCTCTAGATTCGGATGAGATTTTTCACTAGGGAAAGCAATATTATGGATAAAGAACGTGTGTTTTAGCCAGAAGCAAAGGTTTGAAAAATATTTTAAATTTATAAATTTGTTTTTTACAAACACGCAGTTTTTGTCTTCTCCAGATGTTAACTGATGGACTGGAGTGCTGTGGATTACTTGTGGATTATTGTGATGTTTTTATCAGCTGTTTGGACTCTCGTTCTGACGGCACCCATTCACTGCAGAGGATACATTGCTGAGACACTGATGCAGTGCTACATTTTTCTTAGGGGTGTAAAGGTACACAAACATGACGGTTTGGTACGTACCTCAGTTTTGACGTCACGGTTCAGTACATTTTTGATACAGCAGGGGGAAAAACTAAACATATATTTTTTTTTTTAAACAGTGGTTTACAGAACAAAATTGCTCTTACTTTAAATAAATTCTGATATAATTCAAATTTTCTTAGGGATAAAAATCTACCTCGGATTATACTCTAAAACAGGGCTGCCCAAACTCGGTCCTGGAGGGCCGGTGTCCTGCAGAGTTTAGGTCCAACTTGCCTTAACACACCTGCCTTTAAGTTTGTAGTATGCCTAGTAAGAGCTTGATTAGCTGGTTCAGGTGTGTTTAATTTGGGTTAGAGCTAAACTCTGCAGGACACCGGCCCTCCAGGACCGAGTTTGGGCAGCCCTGCTCTAAACTATAGTGAGCCCTTTTACATTAGGCCTACTTTAAGGTTACAGTTAACAACAGACCCCAAATTTAAATTTAATTACTAATTATTTTTAAATATAATAATCAACACTCAACTTAAAAAAAATGTATGCAAACATAGAAATTGCACATAATGCAGTTTTTAAATTAAATTCTAAATTATAAACATTTTATTTGTTGTTGAAATATATTCATTGACACAGTGCCTCTCATAACTCATTTCATAACAGATTAATTTAAACATTAAATAATTAAGACATCACTAACAGGTAAATAACAGTCTAATATTTTGTGAAATGCACTTCTCTAGACTTAATTTATCGCGCACTAACGAGCTGTGGACACTGATGACTTCCTGATGTAAATTAAACTCTACGTGACGTTTTGTTTACAAGCTGTTTTTGTTTATTGCCGTCTTTCCGCGGTTGAAACACTGATTGAGCGAATACATGAGGCTCGAGATGTTCATTCATGTTTATTTTGTGTTATAACTAGTAGTAAAGAGGAAGAGATGATCGTTTGAACTGAGGCGTTTATACGGCGATCTGTCACGTCACATCAAATAGCGTCAAAACGGCATTTATTGTTTGAATTTCCTAAAAAAAAAAAAAGGACATAATTAAGGATGAGACTTTGTTTCTTATCAAAAGTAACAACATATAAAACTGGAAGTATCAAATGAAGTTCCGCTCGTGCAGTGCTTAAAACAATGCTGTATTTGTTCGTACACATGCATACCGAACCGAAAGACCTGTACCGAAATTTTTTGGTACGAATAAGTGTACCGTTACACCCCTAATTTCTCTAGATCTGTTCCCATGAACAAACTCATCTACCTGAAGGCAGATTAAAGGCTAGAGAAAATTTTCATCAAATTTTCATTTTTGAGTGAACTATTCCTTTAATGATTCTGCAGCTGATCATGCTTAACAATTCTGTATTTTTACAGATTATTTTAGCACTGTTGAGTATAATTACTATATTAATGTCTGTCAGACGATCCTCTAATGTTGTAAACTGCCTGACAGATACATCCTCTTGATCAGGGGTCTCCAAACTCGGTCCTGGAGGGCCGGTGTCCTGCAGAGTTCAGCTCCAACCCTAATAAACACACCTGAACCAGCTAATCAAGCCCTTACTAGGCACACTAGACACTTCCAGACAGGTGTGTTGAGGCGAGCTGGAGCTGAACTCTGCAGGACACCGGCCCTCCAGGACCGAGTTTGGACAACCCTGGCCTAGACTCTCTGGGGTGAAACAGAACTGGTTCATACATGAATCAGACTGCAGTGGCTGAATGTTTGCTGTTGTGCATTAGTGTGGGGAAACAGCGCAATGCAATGACATGCCGTGTAAGTATTGTGCTTCTGCACCACCCAATGATTTCCTCTAAACACAGGCAAATCAGAAATCTCACAATCAGCTGAAATCTAGGTTACTGTAGAGAGTTGTACCTGGTCTTGTTTGCTCTGTGTGGTCAGGAGGAAGTGCTCATCATGTGCATCCTCTGCGTCTCCTTGAGAGCGATGCAGCAGCGATGTCATCTTCTGCCCCACTATCCCAAACGCAGCAGGGTAGAATAATGCCATGGGAGCCTATCAAACAAACAGAACAATGCAGATGCCAATTAGCAGACAAGCGCTAAACCACCACTAATGGCACAAGATCCGGTCCGTCTCCACCTGGAGTTTCTCATCTCCTAATCGTAGCTGATACAGCAGCACTGGGGAATCAGGGAAACATGTGCGAAACTCGTGATCCTGCAGCCCAGAAATATCCTGCACAGAAATCAACAATACATCAGATTACAAAGCATGATATGCATATAATATAATATGACGTAAATACTGAACTCACAGACATATATAAAAAAATTATTTATATTTATACAAGACTCAATTTCATGTTTTTTAAATTTTTTTTCACTAACTGAACTAGTTTTGGATCGACTTGTGGTTATGTTTCACTGTAGTATAACAACATTCACATGTGGCTGTATTTTACTTGCATTAAATACAGCACTTTTAAGCCATTTAAGAGCAAAGTGACACCTAGTGAATATTGACAAAAGGCTGAATCACCTGATCCAGATGGCAGAAGGACTCTTTGAGCTGCTGCAGTAAAATACAGTCCATTTTGTTGCCGAGTTGGCATTCTCTAAAGGGAAATCCGGCTCTCTGCATGAGCCAGAAAAAACACCGCGTCACATCCGAGCCTCCGTACGCAAGACACAACCTGCACAAAACAAAACACAACACATGCATTCAACAGAGACAGCACGAGAGCTCAAAGTATTCTCCATTGTGTTTACTGTGCTGCACATCAGTAAGAGATAGGGGTGGAACGGTTCAACTTACTCACGGTTCGGCTTGTATCACGGTTTTAGAGTCACGGTTTCGGTATACGCTATGTTTAGGCAAAAACTATACTGTCAAATAAAAATAAAGAAAATAAGATTAATCTATCTAACTATAAGCAACAGCACAAATAAATACCATAGAGTAAAAATATAAATAAAACAAACAGTGAATAAAAGATCTATAAAACATTATCAAAACAGATTTATCCACATCAAAGCACTTAAGCTTCCTCAGTAAATATAACCGTTTTTGTGTCTTTGATACAACAAGGTTTGTGTTTTCCACCCAGCTTAGCTTATCGTCAATAACTGTACCCAAGTACTTGTATGAGTTGACCTTCTCAACTTCTTTACCTGCAATAACTATTTTAGATTGGATATCAACAGAGTTATAGAATTCTATATTCATGTCTTTAGTCTTGGAAACATGAATTTGTAAATAAGAACTCTCACACCAATCCAAAAAATAGTTCAGAATGGGCCCGTGCTCCGTATCACCCTGTTTTAACAGGCTTAGCACCACTGTATCGTCGGCATATTTTATAATGTGTCTGCCTGGTAGGCCTATGTTTGTCACATCATTATAAGTGTTTGATCACCACATTTGAGTTATCATTGTCAAGTCAAGTCACCTTTATTTATATAGCGCTTTTAACAATACAGTAGTAGTAGTAAATCTTTATTTGTCCCTTCACAGGGCAATTCATACAGCATCAACCTCACAAACAGACAAAAGTTTATAAGACATCGTGACAAAACTGCTAGAATGAATGAACGAACGACCACAACAACAAAAAACAAACAAAAACCCGTGCATTAACAGTGCACCATTTGTCATATACTAAAATAATGTTAAAATTCATAGTACACCTATATCTTTATGTTTCAAATAATTGTTTACAATCAAGACTGCATTTGAAAGACCTTGGGGGCAACCCACTGAGGAATAAAGCTCCTGGGAATATTCTCCATTTACACGTACTATTTGAGATCTTCTGGTCAGAAAATCTCAAATCCAGGCCACCAAGCCCCTAGGAACATCAAATTCAGACAACAAACGTTCAGCTAAAAGAAGTGGTTGAATAATAGTATTAAATGCGGATGCAAAATCTATAAATACTATTTTTTCCACACTGCAGGTACTCTCTGTAATTTCAACTCCACTTGGGCACTCTATATCGTCTGCCCGAGGGGAGGAGTTCAAACTCTTGAGTGCAAAATGTGAGCTGTATCATCTAAAATAGTCAAAGACGTCCTAAGGACATTATTCTCACACAAAGCAGATACCCCCAACTGTAAAACTCTCCCACTCACTTTATCAGGCCCCCTTTATCAGGCCCAGGACTTTTATTTTGTTGGGTGGTTTGCAAAATTCTCAAAACAAAGGTTTTATCAATCTGTATATATTCCTCTGTTTTTAAATTAGAATAAAAATCCATACACCTGTCATTAAAATCATGTGTATCAAATCTCCTAAAAAAGTCATTAAATTCATTTGCTATCTCTCCATTTTCTGTCAAAGACTTTGTCAAGGTAATTTCTATTTGTTCTTTATTTTTTGCACCAGCCATTTCTTTAATTCCTTTCCATGCTGACTGAATATTTCCCTTAATAAACTTCTCCTCCACTGATGCCTTATATTTCCTTTTTGCCCTCCTAATTTCTCGTTTTACTTCCTTATTTACCTGACACTTTTCCAAATCTGTGCCTTGATAAAAAACCCGTTTCTTCTTATTTAAAACATATTTCAATGATTTTGTCACCCAAGGCTTATTATTTGAATACATTTTTACATATTTCCTAGACTCTTCACAGAAGTGAATATAAGAACTCACAACATCAGCTAACTCATCATTGTCTACACAAGAAGATTTAAACATGTCCCATTCGGTGCGATCAAAGCAATCTTGTAATTGTAAGATGTTCTCATCAGTCCATCTTTGAGATGTCCTAATAACTGGCCTTGCTCTCTGCAACACTGATTTATAACATGGTTGCAAAGAGACTGCATTATGGTCCGCACAACCAATGGGAAGGATCTATATGCATCTGGTATTGACCCATAACATAGATCAAGTGTTTTATGATGGCGTGCTGACTGATTATCTCCGTTGCCTTCTGAACATCAGACTTCGAATGAATGTATACCACTGAAATAAAAAGTTGCTGAAATTCTCTTGGCAAATAGAAAGGCCGGATAGATACAGTCAATAGTTCTATATCTGCGGTGCACATTTCCTCACATACAATCACTGTCTTTGCCCATCGATTGTTCACGTACAGACAGACACCTCCTCCTCGAGACTTCCCTGTGACTGAAGGGTCACGGTCCAGCCATAGAGGTGCTCCAAAACCATCCAAAGACAGTTCAGTGTCACAATCATTCCCGTTTAACCAGGTCTCTGTTAGTGCAATCATACAAGCTTCTCTGTACTCCCGTAGATGGCGCACATTTGCTTGCAGTTAATTTATTTTACTTCGTAATGATTGCACATTCGCGAGGATTATGTTGGGCAGTGGGATACGCTTGAACCCCAACTTTTTTACCTTGAGTCGTATTCCACCGCGTTTCCCCCTCTTCCTCACCTTGATATTAAAATCCAAATTTTCATACCTTGTATTTCCTTGCAAGTCTGTACTACAGTTCACCACAGTCCTCGGATAATTCCCCGGCAATTGGAGCAGCAATTCCCAGCTGTATTGTAGCGTTGGATAGCGTGGGGATTCCTGAGCACTCCAAACAGCCCCAAAAAATGCCCAAAGCGTCAAAAACCAGAACCAATCCATTCCATCTGATGAGTACTGCGATATATTAAAGGGGTCATATGATGCAATTTCAATTTTTCCTTTCTCTTTGGAGTGTTACAAGCTCTTGGTGCATAAAGAAGATCTGTAAAGTTGCAAAGACTAAAGTCTCAAATCCAAAGAGATATTCTTTATAAAATTTTTAGACCGATGAGCTTTGTAAAAATCGATGCGTTTCAGAAAGGCAGGAGAGAGAGGAGAAACAATAATGTACAGTATGTGGAAAATAATGTGTTTTTTGAACCTTAAACCGCATAAACACATTTCATTACACCAAATACACCAAATAATGTTCTTTTTAGCAGCATCATATGACCCCTTTAAAAGTAAAAAAAGATGCTCCGTGTGACAAAAGCACGTAACCGAGACGAAAAAGAAGGACAAACAGTTCCAAACACCAAGCACACGAGGCACAGTGCTGTCGGTCACTACAAGAGCAGCGCCCTCTCCACCCTTTCTGTACAATTTCAGGTACAGACATTGAATAAAGTAATGAAATGTAAAACAGCATTGCATATTTGACTGTATAAATGAAAGATTAATCTTTATTAAAGTTACAAAAGCTATTCAATCAAGAGCAGTGAGTGATTTCTTTGTTGTTGCTGTTTGATTAATATTAAGAAAGTGCTGTCACTTTAAGAGAATGCACTGATGCAGTGCACAGATACTGTACGTTCAGCCGGCTATGTCTGCTATAGGATACTTACCAAGACGGGCATTTTGACATAATTTTTGTGTGAATTTGTCCATTTAAACACAATACTTCAGAGAAAGCTTAATATTTGCGCGCGTTCTGAGGCGCGGGGTTGTGCGCTTCGGATGAGCGCACGCACAAATCTTCTCACTGCACGCGCGAGCTCACGTCCTCTGGCTCTTAAATGTTTAAACTGGCAAAGCTTAAACGAGTTTAGCTTAAACACCGATATCAACATGTGCTGTTCAGGTCTCGCCTGTGCGCGAAGTCAGAATGCGCATCCATCAACAGAAACATACATTAGCCGAACCCTGTTTGTTTTACGTGTTATTTATAGCAAACCATATTACAGATGCGTTGTCAGATTTAAGTTGAACTGCGGTCCTAGCGCGTGCCGAACCGTACGGTTCGATTTTGTTCCGCGAACCGTTGCACCCCTAGTAAGAGATCATGAGATACTCAGGTGCAGGGGTTTAAAAGACTTTAAATAGTCTTCAAGTATTGTATAATTCAAGGGATTTCTTTGCATTTATATTAGAAAAAATTATTAATGGTAATTCTGTTTATGTTACAGGAAATAAAAAATATATATATTTAACAGCCCCTTTAAATCTGCATTTATGCAACACTTAAATATAACAAAAATGAACACATGGTTTAGGTTTGATTTTGTAAAAGTAATCATAATACTAACAACAATAATAAAAGCATTTGTTTTAATACGAATCAACACTAGGACAGTCCCTGGAGTTGAAGAAAATGAATCAGGGTCCTCAAGAGAACAAATACTGGCAGTTCTGTTTGAGGCAGCTCATCAACATCTCAGCTTCTGACTCGCATCTCAAATCCTTTAGCCTCTAAACTACCAGCATGAGCTAAGGCAACCAGCACTATTACTACATTCAACAATCTGACCAAACCTCTAACATTACTTTGTTCATTCCGCAGTGTGTCTTGTTGAGGGGAAGTGTTCCGTTGTGGTTTTACACTGGAAACACGGCTCACGTTGTCTTCAGAAAATGCCAAACCCTTTAACACAGCGTATATTATAAAACGGATAGTTCCGGTGCTTGATTCTGATTGGCTGAGCCGCATTCGAAGCTGTTGTAAATTACTCTACAAACATACACCTTTGTTTACTTCTGTGTGTTGCTCGGCAACCACTTTGTTGGAACCACAACTGTTTCTGAGGAACTACATTGTTTGGTGGAAGAATACTGTTTTTATTAATATAATTACACTTTATTTGCTCCGTTTTATTCTGTGAAACCG